GAAGTGCTTCAAGGCCGCGTCTCCAAGGTCGAAGTAGCAGGCCATGGACACGTACACGTAGGAGGTGTACAGCTCCAAGTTGACCTGGTTGTTGATGGCGGCCTCACACTCAGGGTGGCAATTCTGACCCACATGGCAGGGCGGCAATGCGGTCGCCATGTCTGGTAGTGCAGGTGCAGGGTGGGGGCACCACAGCGAAGAAGTCTTGGAAGCGGGAGCTGGACTTGCCCTGTAGCCTCCCGAGAGTCCCCAGGTGAGTCAGTAGCACCGCAGAGGGGTGGTGCTCCAGCGCCTGCAGCAGGCGACTGTTGGTTGGCTGTGAGATGGAACCGGAAAGGGAAGGTGAATCCTGAAGATGGAAAACGTGAGCAATTCTCGCGAGTATACAGGAGAGGGAGCAAGGAGGACCCCTGAGAGTGGGAGGGGCAAAGACGGGGTGCCGAGGGGGGGGTTGTACAGGTGGGCAGGGTACCAGCAGCATGTTCCAGGTTCCGTCACAGCCTGGGTGAGGCGGGGAGAAGCTGTTCTGACCTCTTGACATTTAATGTTTTCAATTTCGCAAGAATATGTCTATGTTTCAAGGACCTTATCTGCCCTCTAATTCCTTCTATAGAAGACATTATTGTTGTATATACCCCTTTTCTTCCCTTAAAGTTCTGAGAATATGAATTTGAATCCTTGGTACAATTCTCTTCTGTTTCCTGTGTTATATCTGGGTTCCCCCTGCCCAGAAATAGTTTTGTGAATTCCCTGTCCTTTTTTCTTTTATCTTCCTCATACATTTGGCAAACCTGTGTTCCTGTACAGTTAGGCATAAAGGACTTATGTGGTCAAAGCAGGGAATGAGCAGGGGTCTGATCTGGGGGTTGTGAGGTGCATTTCACTGCAGGGCTTCTGCTGTAAGGGAAGGCTGGAGTGTGCTGAGTTACTCAGTGGGTTTTCCTTTGAGGATACATGGCGTGGCTTATAGGTAGGAAAGGGGCACTCCCTGGGGACAAAATAAATGTGATACACCTGACATTGGGAGAGTAATACTTTTGTCTTTTAAGTAAATGTGCCCTATTGTTTCCCTTCTCGGCAGGTCTGCAATTGTCCTAAAGTCATTTGCTGTCTTCGCAGTGTAGTTTGGGGTGAGGAAAGCTGCCAGATACCGCAGTTGTATAAAATTCTCTTGTGTAGACATCCTGTCCAGGGCTTTTGTTTGTTGAGGTGTTTTAAGGTTTTAATTTTTTGTTGTTAAATGAGTGCTTTGATTTCTTAAGTTCTAAGCCATGTGTTCAAATTTCTAGTTTCTTCCTCATTCAGCTTTGGAAGATTGGATGTTTCTCAAAATTTATTCATTTCTCCCAGCCTGTCTAATCTGGTGGCATGTACTTGTTCATGATAGTTTCTTTAGGTACTTACACACCTTAAACCCAGGTATTATTATAACAATCTCACCATATTAGTGGGTAGGTGATCAGTGCCCGCTGTGGGTAAATAACACCTACTGTGCATGAATGAGTCCACACAGGAGGGCAGGCACCGCTGTCTTCAGAAAGAGCTCTGGGAGAGGTTGGGCCTTGGGCCTGCTATCTGGGATCTTCGATTTCAGGAGTGTTCGAACCTCTCCTAATTGATAAGAATGTCAATGTGCCCAGAGTGGGTAAACAAAAGAATTTACACTGAAGACATCTTTGTTGCTGTGTGTGTGAGGTCTGGGTACTTGCTAAGCCAAGGGTGCCCACACACCCAGCCTCCAATACAGACTGGAGCACTGGGTCTATAATGGCCTCACAGTTATCTACATGGTGGTTCCATTGGAGGTCCAATGCGCATCCAGTCCAATGCGCATCCAATGGGCACTCAGGTTGTACATAACATGGCAGTCCAACCCCCTGGACAAAAAGACCTCAAATTAATAATCAGTCCTACCATCCCCCCACGTATTCAGTTCTAATCACCAGAACCTGGATTATTTTCCTCATCTCTCACTCTTCACCTCTGGCCCATAAACTGAGCTTATCAACACATCCAATCCATGTGCATTTTGCCCACATCTCTTCCTTTTCTCAGTCACCACTGTAGTTCAAACCCCATTACCTTTCACTTGGACCAGCCACAACATCTCCTAACTGGCCTCCCAGCTTCAGCTCTCCCCCTCCCTCTACATTCTTGAAAGCACTGAGTCACTCATAGCCTGCAGAGGAATTTATACTAATTCATATTCAGTACCTGGAAGTTGACCTTCGGCCTTGTCTTTGAGCTTTTCACTCCTACAGAGCTATTTCATCTTTGAGGGACCATGTTGTGCTAATGGAAGAAAGAGAACAACTGAAGCAAAAACCTCTATCAGCATGTTTTGAAAGGGTAATATGCATGACCAGCATGGGACCATGGGGAGACACTTCCATGTGTCTGGAAAAGCCAGCCTAAGCCTCAGCAACCATTGCAGTTGCTCAGTGAGTGCTTGTGGAAGTGGTACTCTATAGGGAACCGTTCTGTGTGGCATAGGGAATGTAGCCCAGCCTCAGCCTCGGAAAATCCAGTGGAAAGTGAGTCAATACACCAGACCCAGGCCCACATATAGGTTCGCCCAGGGGGAATCAGGCCTGCATTGTACCTAGGCTGCTATGAGACATGCTTTTGCTAAAACTCCATCCCCCTGAATTGAGGCAGGAAGTTTCTACTGCAGCTCTTTAAAGTAACTTCTTAAAAGCTGTGCTAAATTTCCCAAGTATGGAGTATAACGAGGTCAACCACTTTTCTCCTTGATCGGCCACATCCTTCTCTATAAAGCAGTTAGCAACATTTGTTCCTTTGTTTTGTGTAAAAAGCAATCACCTACAGGAAACCTATACATAGCAAATGAGGACCGTCCTAGATGTAATGTACCCAGGTAAGCAGTAAAAGCCTGTCAAGGCAGGGGTCCAGGCCCTTACTCTGACTGAGAGAGTGGCCACACCATCCCATTTCATCACAGGACTTCTGTAGTCCAAGTGGATTTGTTCCTCGCAGCCACAACGCAGGGACCCTGTGGGCCAGGGTCCACATCAGTACTCTGCCAAGATGGCTTCTGGGGTCTTCATCTTGCTACACAGGTATTGTTAAGAAACATGAACATTTGGGTACTGTAGTGAACTAAAAACCTTCAGTTAAAATGTAAGAATCTTCTACTTCTTGCCCAATCTCACTCTCTCTGTTGTTTCTCCAGAAGGAAGCTCAGCAATAATTTGAAGGCCAGGCTTTGTATTTTGAGCATGGACATGCATCTGTTTTCACCACGGCCCCAGACCATCTATCTGACTGCACCCTGCCCTATACCACAGGCTTTCTAAGGATGAGATGAATTCTGCATTTTCCAGGGGCCCAAGGAAAACCCTCTCACTCCATCCAAGGTCCAGGGCACCCCTGCTCTGTCCATTCCGGATCCAGGCAATACGACCTTCCTCTATCCAGCTTCCATGTAATATGCCCTCCCTCCATCCTGGGTCCCACAAAATAGTTCCACGCTCCTCTAGGATTCAGTGAATACCCAGGCACTCCAACCAGGGACCTGTGTATGCATCCCACCCCCCCCCATCCAGTGTCCAAGGAATGCATTCTCCCACCATTAAGAGCCCATGGAAAACACCCACCCTCCATCTCAGACCCAAGGATTCACCCATCCCTCCAACATGGGTTCCACAGAATGACCCCTCCCTCCGTCCAGGGTCCAGGAAATAATATTTCCTTCAATTCAGGGTCTAGGGAATACTTCCTCCCTCTACCTAGTGTCCAGGTAATATTCCCTCACTCCATCCTGGGGCCTACAGAATGCCCCTCCATCATCCAGTGTCCAAAAGAATAGCCCCAACTTCTAGCAGGGTTTGGGGAATAACACTTCACTCCTCCCAGCATCCAGGGATACATACCCCTTCCCTCCACCCAGGGCCCAGGGAATGCCTCCTCACTCAATCTATGGCCAAAAAACAAAAAACCAAAAAAACAAAAAAAACCAATCTCATCCATCCGGGGTCTAGGCAATACCCTACCTGGAAGAGAGTCTCACTGAATGATCTTCCCTCCATTCAAGACCCAGGAAATACCTCTCCCCTCCATGTAAGCCCACAGAATTACATCTCTCTCCATACAGGTCCAAAGGAATACCTCCTGCTTCTACTCACAGCCCAGAGAATACCTTCTACCTGAATACAGCGTCCAGGGAATACCACTGACTTCTGTCCAGTGTACAGGGAAAACCTTCTCCCTCCATCCAGTACCCCAGGCAACCCCCTGCCTTTATGCAGGGTTCTGAGTATGCCCCTCCCTCCACCCAGGGTCCACAAAATGCCTCCTTCCTCCATTCAGGGCCCAGGGAGTGCACTCTCCCTCCGTCCTGGGTCCCAAGATAGCCCCTGGCTCCAGACCTTATCCTTCAGAATATCCCACCCTTCTCCAAGGATCAGGGAATACCTCCTCCCTCCATCCAGGGCCCAGGGAATTCCTCCTCCCTCCACCCATGGTCTCAGGACTAGCCCCTCCCTCCATCCAGTTTCCACAAAATAACTCTTCCCTCCCTTCAGGGCCCAGGAACTAACCTCTCCTTCAATCCACAGTCGCAGGACCCCCCTTGTCTCTATCTAGTGCCCCAGGAATAGCCCCACGCTCCTCAAGGGATCAGTGAATGCCCACTCCTTCCATCCAGGTTCCTGGGAGTAACACGTCTCTCCATCCATGGTCCCTGGGGTACCCCCTCTCTTCATGCTGTGTCCCACAGAACACCTGTTCCCTCTACCCGGGGTCCCAGAGAATACTGGCTCCCTCTATCCAAGATCCCAGGAAATATGCCCTCCCATCCACAAAGTTCTAATGTGCAAGTGATGCGGTGTGTTTGGAAAGAGAGAATCCTACATACCTGTTGTATTACTTAGAAGGTTTGGGTTAAACACAGGTGAACCAATGAAAGAACTTTATTTATTTAGGAAGCAATAAATTCCTTGGAAAAAAGATAAAACTGGAACATAAAAACTTAAGCGGAACTTTTGAAGGGCAACATGGCAGTAGGTACGCTCAGCACGGTGAAAAGGGAAGTCACCCCGAGGCTATGGGGAAGGCAGTCCCTGCTCAGTTCTTGCTGCCGCCCAGAGTAAGCTTGTCAAAGAGGGACTCTGCCAGGCTATCTTCCGGGGCCGCCAGCTTGCGCAGGTTGGTGATGTGCTCCCCCAACTCCTGGATGAACATCCCTTGGTCACGCAGGTAGTCACGCTCCAGGAAGTGACAGACCTTGCCATGCTTCTCCCTGGACAGCTGGTACAGATTCAGCAGGCTCTGGTGCACTCTCTTCGCCAGGTGCAAGGCGCACTCCATGACCCTCAGGCCATTCTCCCACTTCCCTTCCTCAGGCCTGGGGATGTTGCGCAGGCGGGGGTTGGCAGCACACTGGCTCTCCAGCCCCAACAGATACTCCGCGTGCTCCCTCTCCTTGTTCGACTGCCGAAGGAAAAACAGGCTGAAGTGCTTCAAGGCCGCGTCTCCACGGTCGAAGTAGCAGGCCATGGACATGTACACGTAGGAGGCGTGCAGCTCCAAGTTGACCTGGTTGTTGATGGCGGCCTCACACTCCGGGTGGTAGTTATGACGCACATGCCAGGGCGCGAATGCGGTAGCCATGTCCGGCAGCGCAGGTGCAGGGTGGGGGCAACAAAGGGAAGAAGTCCTGGAAGCGGGAGCTGGACTTGCCCTGTAGCCTCCAAGAGTCCCCAAGGCGGGTCAGTGGCAGAGCAGAGGGGTGGTGCTCCAGCGCCTGCAGCAGGGGATTCGTGATTGGCTCCGCAACGGAACCGGAAAAGGGAAGGAGGGACCTGAAGGCCGAAAAAGTGACCATTCTCGCGAGTGTACAGGAGAGGGAGCAAGGAGGACCCCTTGGTGGGGGGGGGGGGGGCGGGCTGGGGGGCGGGTCTAAGTGGGCAGTGCACCAGCAGCGTGTTCCAGGTTCCGTCACAGCCTGGGTGAGGCGGGGAGAAGCTGTTCTGACCTCTTGACATTTAATGTTTTCAATTTCGCAAGAATATGTCTATGTTTCAAGGACCTTATCTGCCCTCTAATTCCTTCTATAGAAGACATTATTGTTGTATATACCCCTTTTCTTCCCTTAAAGTTCTGAGAATATGAATTTGAATCCTTGGTACAATTCTCTTCTGTTTCCTGTGTTATATCTGGGTTCCCCCTGCCCAGAAATAGTTTTGTGAATTCCCTGTCCTTTTTTCTTTTATCTTCCTCATACATTTGGCAAACCTGTGTTCCTGTACAGTTAGGCATAAAGGACTTATGTGGTCAAAGCAGGGAATGAGCAGGGGTCTGATCTGGGGTTGTGAAGTGCATTTCACTGCAGGGCTTCTGCTGTAAGGGAAGGCTGGAGTGTGCTGAGTTACTCAGTGGGTTTTCCTTTGAGGATACATGGCATGGCTTATAGGTAGGAAAGGGGCACTCCCTGGGGACAAAATAAATGTGATACACCTGACATTGCGAGAGTAATACTTTTGTCTTTTAAGTAAATGTGCCCTATTGTTTCCCTTCTCGGCAGGTCTGCAATTGTCCTAAAGTCATTTGCTGTCTTGAGAGTGTACTTTGGGGAAATAAAAGGTGTCACATACCCCAGTTGCATAAAATTCACCTGTGTAGCCATCCATCCAGTCCAGGGTTTTGTTTGTTGCGTGTTTTTTTGTTGTTGTTCTTATTTGTTTTTTTTCCTCTAATGACCACTTTGATGTCCTTAGCGGTAAGCCCTCTGTTCAAAATTCCAGGTTCCTCTTGATTCATCCTCGGAAGATTGTACGTTTCTAGACTGTATTCCTTTGTTTTTCAGATTCTCTAATTTGGTGACATATACTTGTACATAATACTTTGTATTGCTACTTACAAACATTAAAACGGATATTATTGTAATAGTCTCATCCCACTAGTGGGTAGGTGATCAAGTGCCCACTGTGGGTAAATAACACCTACTGTGCGTGAATGAGTCCACATAGCAGGACTGGCACTGCTGTCTTTAGAAAGGTCTCCTGGAGAGGTGGGACCTTGGGTCTAGTATCTGGGAACTTTGATTGGGGTCCTAATTGATAAGAGTGTCATTGTGCCTGGAGTGGGTAAACAATAGAATTTACACTGAAGACATGTTTTGTTTCTGTGTGTATGAGTTCCTGGTACTTGCTAAGCCAAGGGTACCTACCCACCCAGCCCCGATACAAACTGGAGCACTGGGTCTATAATGGCCTCACAGTTATCTACATGGTGGTTCCACTTGGACGTCCAATAGGCATCTCGGGTTTTACATAATATGGCAGTCCCACCCCTGGACAAAAGTCCTCAAATTAGTAAACAGTGCTACCATTCCCCCCCAGGTATTCAATTCTAATCCCCAGAACCTAGATTGCTTTCCTCATCTCTCACTTGTCACCTCTGGCCCATAAGCAGAGCTTATCACCTCATCCAATCCATGTAAAATATGCCCCCATCTCCTTATTTTCTCAGTCAGCACCATAGTTCAACATCCATTCCCTTTCACCAGGACCAGCTACAACATCTCTTACCTGGCCTCCCAGCTTCAGCTCTCCCCCTTCCCTCTACATTCTTGAAAGCACTGAGTCACTAATAACATGCAGAGGAATTTATGCTACTTCATATTCAATACCAGGAATTTGACTGTCGGCCTTGATTTTGTACTTTTCAGTCCTGTGGAGATATTTCACATTTGGGGGATCATTTTGTGCTAATGGAAGAAAGAGGACAACCGAAGCAAAAACCTCTCTTAGCATGTTTTGAAAGGGTAATATGCATGACCAGCATGGGACCATGGGGAGACACTCCCATGTGTCTCGGAAAACCAGCCTAAGGCTCAGCAACCATTGCAGTTGCTCAGTGAGAGCTTGTGGAAGTGCTACTCTATAGGGAACCGTTCTGTGTGGCATGGGGAATGTAGCCCAGCCTCAGACTCAGAAAATCCAGTGGGAAGTGAGTCAATACACCAGACCCAGGCCCACATATAGGTTCGCCCATGGGGAATCAGGCCTGCATTGTACCTAGGCTGCTATGAGACATGCTTTTGCTAAAACTCCCTCACCCTGAATCGAGGCAGGAAATTTCTACTGCATATCTTTAGAGTAACTTCTTAAAAGCTGTGCTAAACGTCCCATGTATGGAGTGTAACGACTTCAGCCACCTTTCTCCTTGATCGGCCACATCCTTCTCTTTGAAGGAGTTAGCAACATTCTTTCCTTTGTTATCTGTAAAGAGCAATCACCTACAAGGAACCTGTACACAGTAAATAAGGACCATGCTGGATGTAATGTACCCAGAAACGCAATAACACCTGTCCAGGCAGGCTTCCGGGCCCTCTTTCTAACTCAGAGAGAGGCAACCACGTCCCTTTTCCTCCACAGGACTTCTGTATTCCACGTGGATTTGTTCCTCACAGCCACAACACAGGGACCCTGTGGGCCAGGGTAGGCATCAGTATTCTGCCAAGATGGCTTCTGGGGTCTTCATCTTGCTACACAGGTATTCTTAAGAAACGCGAACATTTGGGTACTGTAGTCAACTAAAAATCTTCAGGTAAAATGTCAGAACCCTCTACTTCTTGCCCAAACTCACTCTCCTTATTGTTTCTCCAGAGACAAGCACAGCAAAAATTTGAAGGCCAGGCTTTGTATTTTGAGCATGGACATGCATCTATTTTCACCAGGGCCAAAGACTATGCAGCTAACAGCCCTGTGCCATATACCACAAGGTTTCTGATGAGAAGATAAATTCTGCGTTTTCCAGGGTCCCGAGGAAAACCCTCTCGCTGCATTCAGGATTCAGGACATACCTAGTCTGTCCATTCAGGGTCCAGGGAATTCATACTCCCTCCATTCAGGATGAGGAAATACCCCTTCCCTCCATGTATCGTCCGGGGAATACCCACACACTCCATCCACAGTCCAGGGAATACCCACCTCATGCTTTCAGGGTCCAGGGAATACAACCTCCCTCCATCTAGGTTCCAGGTAATATGTCCTCCCTCCATCCAGGGTCCCACAAAAAGCCTCATGCTCCTCAAGATTTCAGTGAGCACCCAGGCCCTCTGCTTCGAGTCCCTGATATACTTCCTTCCCCCATGCAGTGTTCAAGTAATACTTCCTCTCGGGGTGGGTGGATAAAAAAAAAATAATACTTCCTCTCTCCATTCAGGGCCCAGGTAAAACACCCTCCATCCATCAGGGAGCCAGAAAATAACCCCTCCTTCCAACCTGGATTCCACCTCTATCCAGTACCCAGGGACTAACCTCTAATCCCAACCTGGGCCCCAGGAAATTACCCACACTCCTCTAGGGTTCAAGAAATATACCCTCCCTCCATCCACAGTCCAGAGAACTTCCTTTCTTCCATAAAGGGTTCAGGGAAAAACCCCACCCTGCCTTGAGGTTCCAAGGAATATTGCTCCATCCTTTCAGGGTCTCAGGGACACAGCTTCTTCACTCCAGGTTCCAGGGAGTACCCTCTTCCACCCACCATTTTCCCTGGGCTCTTTTCCAGAGGCTAGGGAATAACCCCTCTCTCATTTCAGAGTGCAGGGAATTACTCTTCCCTTCATGCAAGTTCCGGGAAATGCAAGATCCCTAGATCCAGCGTGAAAAGAATAGTCCCATCCTCCTCCGAGTTTCAGGAAACACCCCTCCCTCCACCCAGGACCAGGGAATACCTCCTCCCTCCATACAGGGTCTAGGTAACACCCCTGCCTCCATCGAGCTACCCAGAGAACCTGCTCTCTCCATTCAGGGTCCCACAGAGTGTCCCCATGCTCACCGAGGGTTCACCCCTACCTTCGATTAAGGTCCAGGGTACAGCTCCTCCCTCCTACCTGTTTCCCAGGAAATGCCCTTCCTCTATCCATGGCCCAGGAAGTACATTCTCATTCCATTCAGGGCATAGGGAATATGACCTCCCTCCACCCAGGGTCCAGGTAATGTTCCCTCCCTCCATGCTGGGACCCCAAGGAATGCCCCTCCATCATCCGGTATCCCACAGGAGAGCCCCAACCTCCCCCGGGGTTCAGGGAATACCACGTCATTCCATCCAGGACAAGGGCATACTTCCTCCCTCAATCCAGGGCCAAGAAAATACAATCTCCCTCCATCCAGGGTCCAGGGAACACTCCACCCACAAGACTGGTCCCCACGGAATGCTCCCTCACTCACTCCATTCAAGGCCCAGGAAATACCTCTCCCCTCCATTTAAGCCTGTGGAATACCTGTCTCTTCATCTGGGACATAGAGAATACCTCCTGCCTCTATCCAAGGCCTGGAGAATACCTTCCTCCTCTATCCAGTATCCCAGGCAACCTCTTCCCTATATCCAGGGTCCAGGCAATGGCCCCTCCCTGCCCAGGGTCCTCAAAATACCTCCTGCCTCACTTCAGGGCCTAGGGAATACTCTCTCCCTCCATCCAGAGTCCCAGAGTACTCTCTGGCTTTAGCCATTATCCCTCAGAATATCCCAGCCTCCTATAGGGATCAGGGAATACCTCGTCCCTCAATCCATGGTCCCAGGAATAGCCCCCCCTACCATTCACGGTCCACAAAACAACTCCTCCCGCCAATCCGGGCCCAGGAAATACTCTCTCCTTCAACCCAGGGTCCCAGGACAACCCCTTCTCCATCTAGTGTCCCAGGAAATAGCCCCATCATCCTCCTGGGATCAGTGAAT